TAGGTATACAGCCCAGGACCAGTGTATGGTGGGACGGCAGAACCGATTGTCCGAACGGTCCTGGTGAGCATCAGTGTCGCGGAAAGCCCGCGAAAAGCTGGCCAAGAAGCAGCCACAAAGGAAGAAGATGGGAAGAAAGGGGTATCTTGCCTTGAAAGACAGATATACACAGTAGATGTGCTGCCAGGCTGAACATGGAACACAAGGACCAGTGGTGTAGTGGGCAACGCATTACGTTTGGGCGTGGAGGGATGTGAGTTCGATTCCCTCCCGGTCCTGAGCAGCTTTTGGAGAAAGAGGCTCCGTTCACGACAATAAACACGTTTCTACCCTTTCGAACGTTTCTACCCTTAGAATAGATGAGGTGTCTTGCAGATTTAGATGTTTTGGGGCAAAATACGCAAAAATTGGGGCTAAACGTTTGCCCGACCTGTTACCAAAGATTGTCATGGGTTTTCAAATAAAATTAGATTTTTATCAGCTGTTGTTTTATTGCCGCACACTTCCCTTCGTACATTTAGCTGTCTTCCCATACTTGGCATAGTCGGAATTTTCTCGTCTTTTATCAGTGCACTGGTAATTTTTCCATTATTTTTCTTGCCTCTACTGCCGTTGTCAAATGCTGTAAATTCTTTTAGGATGGGAAAATCTCAGGACGAGCGGTACTGTTGACGGGTGAACCAGGCACTGGGAAAACAGCGATTGCAATGGGCATCTCGCGCGCTCTCGGCGAAGACACACCATTCGTCTCGATCACTGCCTCAGAGGTTTTTTCCATGGAAATGAATAAAACTGAAGCATTGATGCAAGCAATTCGAAAAGCCATAGGCGTTCGAATCAAAGAAGAAACGGAGGTAATTTTTTGTTAAAGCACTGTGACATTTCAGTTTGCTTTTTATTCATTTAATTTTTATTTGTATATACACTACTCAGAAGTCGAAGAGCCTGGCACCATTGGCAGATACAGGGGAAGGGGTGGCGATGGACCCGCAACAGTAGAAGTAGCATTGCTAAAAGTGAAGAAAACTCTCTTTTGCACTCTTGGCCACCCCCCCGCCCTTCCCCCTAGCCCTTATTCTTCAGGAGCATCATCTCTCCACCTTCCCCGCCAGTCATCACCACAACAGTCGCCCAGGAAGCCCGCCCTGGATTCGCCTATGCCTAACACAACTTCGTGCGGCATTTGGGGTGCCCTAGTAATATCGCTTACATGGGATACCCACATTGATTGTCCGATCAGTCCTGGTATTCCTGGTTTTTATTCACTCACTTCCTCCATTTGTTCATTTGGGAATGTTTATGCCTATTTTGTGAATTACAAGTCCCTTTTTTTCATTAGTTATTTCAAGAATATTCTTTGGTCTGAGGCGCTAAAAAGTAGCCACCTCACTTGTTTTCTCTATTTTTCATAGATATTTGCAAAAGAGGCACAAATTTTGAGAAAAATTTGTAAAATTTTTGCTATATTTATCGACTTTTTGTGTCGAAAACTGAGCCTACCAGTGCTCAAATCAGTGATTCCATTGATTTCAGGTTTTAGAAGGTGAAGTTTTAAGCATAGAAATCGATCGACCGGCCACTGGTGGAGGTGCCAAAGTTGGAAAGCTTACTTTGAAAACCACTGACATGGAAACGATCTACGATTTGGGCACCAAAATGATTGATGCCTGTATCAAGCAACAGCTATCGACTGGCGATGTTGTTGAGATTGACAAAGCTTCTGGTACCTTACATTTTCTAATACTTTAAAGAACTGAATAAAACATTTGAGAATAAAATTTTTGACTTTACTAGTACCCTCTATGATTCCAATCTCTCTGTGACTCGTTCATCCATAACCATAGGCGGATCCAGGAAAGGGGACGGACGATTGGGAAGAGGGGAGGGAGAAAGAGGAAGGGAGTAGGAACTCTCGCGGCGACGAGCGGAAGAGAAGCGACGGAAGGTGCGGAAGTTTTCTTCAGCTTTAGTTTCAAACCCGGACTTTTCTTGCATTGGTGCCTTTGCCGCTGGAAGGGAGGGAGGAGGGAGGGGGGATCCGCCCATGTTCCCAGAACAAAATGTTCGTTAATATTGCTTTTCGACTTTTCTTTTATACGGCACCTAGTTCGCGCATTTTTTATTTAATTTACGGGACCAGTGTATTGAAAAGAGGTGCATTTACATTAAAAAGATGGCAAGTATCATCTGGAAGTAGGAAGTTCAGGACCAAAAGGCCTGGCATAACCGCATTTGGCGTGTAGGAGCATCTCAGTAACCTAAACAGCGTAGGATCAACACATCCGTAGTCCAAGCGGTTTTGCTATTTCTGGTCATTTATCAGTTAAATTTTAATAGCCGTTTACGCCTGATTTTGTGAAATTGTAGAATTTCAAATTTTGGAGGAAAATCGGCAAATGTTTTCTTTTGTTTCAGGCCGAATAACGAAAATTGGCCGAGCTTTTGCGCATAATTATGATTTTGATGCGATGGGTCCACAGACAAAATTTGTGAAATGTCCCGAAGGCGAAATCCAAAAACGAAAGGAGAAAATTCACACGGTGAGCATATTTGACACATTCTTTCCTTGAGTTTTATGACTGCTTGCTCTTTTTGAGTAGCATTTCTTGTATGTCCTAGCATTTTTTGGTCTGGAAGAGTTTTCTGTTGTGTATTTCAGGTGGCCTTGCATGAAATTGATGTGATCAATTCGCGAACTCAGGGCTTCTTGGCACTGTTTTCCGGTGATACTGGAGAGATCAAAAATGAAGTCAGGGAACAAATCAACAGGAAGGTAGACTCTTTCTGAGAAATTAAAGCAAAGAAAAGTAAATTCTAAAAACTTAGGTCTTATTTGAACCGCGGGCAAAATTTGGAGTATATGGTTCCCTGCTGTTTTTTTTCGAACTGTTTAAGGTACACGTGTAAAAAGGTCATTCGTTTTTGAGCGTAGAATTTTAACTTTGTACAGAACTAAATGTCAAAACCGAAACTTCCTCCATATTTCACCCTCATTGAGAGGCAGAGGTATTCGGGAAGTAGCCCAGATGATAGCGGATACTAACAGCAGTCATCCGCTGGCAGAATTGTCGATGGATCCCTCTTTCGAAGGTTTTTTCGTTTTTTGCAAGCAAGCTGATAGCGAGTTTGACTCCCTGGTACATGCCCAAGTTTTTATTCTAATTCGTTAATTTATGAAAAAAAAAAAAAAAAATGGGGGAGTTAAGCATGGAATGCTAAAGCACACCGGTAAAATCAGGCTTCTTCATTGCATAGACGGTTTCGTTATCGTTAGAATCTGTATTTTCCCCTTATTTGGTGTTTTATGAAATTGATGTTTTGGCTGTTTTACTGCTAAGCCATAACAAAAGCCTTCAAGCAGTGTTAACGTAGCAGTTACATTATTTTCATTATTAATATGCAGTCGTTTTGATTCATTTTTTAGGTAGTAGAATGGCGAGAAGAAAATAAAGCGGATGTTGTGCCAGGTGTCCTGTTTATCGATGAGGCTCACATGTTGGATCTGGAGTGTTTCTCGTTTTTGAATCGAGCGGTTGAGGCTGATCTTTCGCCAGTACTTGTTATAGCCACCAATAAG